TTATATATTTATTTTTTTTATATAATTAAAAATTTTTAAATTTATATTAACAAATTAAATAATAATTAAAAAAAATTATTGTTTAAGATAACACCAGCAAGTATGAAACAAGCATTACTTAATTCTGCGCGTCGTTTATCTGGAGTTGGTATGTTTGAACAAGGTGCTGGAAAGTTAGATCTTTTACGAGCATTTCATTTTCTACGTTCATATACACCGATTGCTACACTTAGTCCAAGGTAATTGTTTTTTGGTATTATTAATATAATACCAAATTAATATATTTAATATATTTTAATATTAATATATTTTTTAATATTAATTACAATATATATATAATATGATATGCAATATAATATAATGTATAAACCATGATATATTATTAGTTATATAGATCTAACTGAATGTCAATATATGTGGCCATACTGTACACAAGCTGTATATCATACTGGTATGCCTACGATTGTAAATATAACTATAATAAATGGTTTGGGAGTATCTGGACATGTAACAGAATTTATATGGCATCCGTATACTGGCAATGGTAATGGTGAGCGAATTGATGTATCAGTAACTCATAGTGATGTTCTTTGGCCATGGTCTGGATGGTTAGCAGTTGCTATAACAGTTCCACTATCTGCCCGTGGTTGGCAAGGCATAGCACAAGGTTTAAATTACTTTATTTATTTTCATTTATATTTCTACTATATTAGAAAATATATTTTATAAAAATATTTTATAATAAAATTCAATGTTATATATAGGTCATATATCTGTTACAATTGAATCACCACCAAGTGATGGAGAAGAAAAAGTAAGACAGTCTAAAATAGAATTACCTTTGAAAGCAAAAGTTATTCCTACACCTCCACGTCAGTAAGTAGAAGTATAAAATTATTATTATTAAATTGTACTATAAAACTCCATGATATAATACTGAATAATATTTTCTTAATAGTAAACGTATTCTGTGGGATCAATTTCATAATTTACGTTATCCTCCGGGTTATTTTCCACGAGATGATTTACGTGCAAAAAATGATCCACTTGATTGGAATGGTGACCATATTCATACAAACTTTAAAGATATGTATCAACATTTACGTAACGCTGGTTATTATCTAGAGGTACTTGGTGCTCCATTCACATGTTTTAATGCCAAAAATTATGGTACCTTACTTATTGTTGATAGTGAAGAAGAATTTTTTCCTGAAGAGGTAATTATATAATATAAATAGGTAATAGGTAAATAGGTAATTATATAATAAAAATAATTTCATATGTGTTATATGAACTATTTTTCAGGTAGCTAAATTAAGGAGAGATGTAGAAGAAGAAGGTCTCTCTGTAGTCATATTTGCAGATTGGTATAACGTCACTGTTATGAGAAAAGTTAAATTTTATGATGAAAATACTCGGCAGTGGTGGATACCAGATACAGGAGGTGCAAATGTACCAGCTTTAAATGATTTACTATATTCTAATTGGGGAATTGCATTTAGCGATCAAGTACGTAATGGCCAATTTACTCTTGGTCAACATCCACCTGTAATTTTTGCTTCTGGTACTACAATTACTCGGTATGTAATTTAAAATATAATATATAATATAAAATATATATTATAATTATTTAAATTTCTTTTTTTATTTAATAATATATTTTTTATCAAGATTTCCGAAGGATGGAGTTATTCTTTATGCAGAATTACATGACCAAGGACAAGAGCTTTTACTTGAATCAGAATCAAAATCTACAATGGCAGTGCCAATTCTTGGACTTCTTCAAACTAATGGTCATATAAATATGAAGGAAATATATAATGATAATTATAGTAACAATATAATAGCTGAAAAAGAAAATATGGAAAAAAATAATATGAAAGATCAAGCTAATATTGTACCAGGTAGAATTGTAGTATATGGAGATTCAAATTGTATTGATGACAGTCATTTACAAAAACGTATGTTTTTTTTTTTATAAAATTTTGAATTTATATAATAATTGTATTAGTACAATTCTTCAATGTAAATAATAAAATTTTATTTTTTAGCTTGTTTTTGGATGCTTGATGCTATATTGGAATATACAACAACGGGACATATCGCAACTGTTTTTACAGATGAAAGTCAAACTAAGGCAAAAATTCTTGAAAAGTCTAGTATTTTAGACAGTAATGAATTACCTCAACGTATGGAAGGAAGTTATTTAAAACGTCATAGTAAAGTGTTACTGTCTGAAAATACTAATACTGGTCATATTAGACCACTTCCATCTTGTCCTATTATTATTCCTGTTACTCCAAAACCTTTAAATGAATCTGTGCCTATGTAAGTTATTAATAACTTTTATTAAATGTTATTCAACAAATAAAATGTTATCTATAATTTTAATTCCATTCTAGAAATCTCTATAAACCTCAAAAATTATTGTCTGTTGGAGATACAATAATTGCAATAAATCCAGTTCTACAAGATTCAAGTCCATTATGGCTTAGAAGACGCGTTGGTGGTGCAAATATTCCTACATTACATCACGCGGAACGAAATAATATTGATGAATTAAAACAAAATGATCAAGATAACAGTGTAACATTTACACGTAAGTGGAATTACATGGCAGGAATAATAATTATAGGAAGTATTTTTTTCTACTTATTAAATCGGTGGAATTGTTTAATAACAAAACGGCATTCTCGAAGAAAACGAACAGTCGGTAGATTACGCAGAGTTATTCAAACAATTTCTCTACGCAGAGTGCCTCAAATGTGACTGTATTTGACAAATCTATAATTAATACAAGATAATATTCAATTATCTGTCATAAACGCTTAAAAAAATATAACAAACTATATTATGTGCCTTTAAATATATAGTATTCAATATAAATTTAAAAATTATAGAAATTATTTTGATAAATTTTATGTTATTGATTAATTTCAAATAACAGAAATTTTTGTTAATATATGAATGCAAAATGCAATATTACTTATTAATACTTTTATTAATTATATAAATGAAAAATAAATTACGATTAAAATACAAACTTATTACAAATAAAAATATATGTGTAATAAAATATATTAGTAAAATATATAAAACAGATATAAATTTGCACTATAAATTAAGGAAATATTATTTTAGATTCAATATTGATAATATTTTATACATGTATTTTTTCAAATATTTTAATATTTTAATTAATAGAACATTCATTTACTTTAGGTAACAAATATATATATACAAAAAGTATATTATCAACTTATTATTAATTTATAATTGTAATAATTATTAGATTTTTGTATAATGATATCATTATCCATTTTTGTTACAAACAAGTAGTGATACAATATTATTAGTCTAACAATATTACTACTTTGTAATATAGATTACAAAAAAATCCATACAAATAAAATCGTTTTTTATACATATATAAAACTATTTATTTAATAATGAAAACATTTATGTGTAAAGATATTTATTATTATTTTTACATATAATATTTGCTATATGCATAATATTAATTATTTTTAGAATATTCATTATATTTGAAATATTTTAATTGTAAAAAGGGTTATATGTAATCCAATGTGCCCTATCTTGTTCTGCTGCAGATTTGTGGGTAGTGAAAATGCTTTTGAAAACTTCTGATGCTTTAGGATCTTTTGCAACACTATAATTTTCTTTAACTTTTTTATATGCTGGATCTTCAGCTTCTGTTCTATTAGTAATCTTAGAAGTAGAACTTTTATCTTCTTTTTTAACTTTTTTCTTTGGTATTTCTTCTTGTTTAATATCTAATATTTGATTATCTTCATTATGTTTCTGTTTCTTAGATTTTTTTTTAGCTATTTTTCGTAATATCATATTCTCTTCCATCAATTTAAGATCATTATTTTCTGCATTTATGATAACAATATCTTCTTCAGTAAAAGCTTGTTGGCATTGATGACATATCTAAAAAACATGATATAATGATATAAAATATAATATAAAAATCACTATATATTAAATATTTTCTTTTCCTTATAATATTCCTTAGATATTTTTATTTTTATTCTTTTAATTCTTTTAATGATTGCTTACCTTACTTTTGACTTCTTTAAGTGCTCTTTCACTCATTACACAACCACATGACCATAAAAAGCAAAATTTGTATTTACCATTCATTTCTAATCCAATAAGCGGACAAATATATGGACTTTTTCCTTCATCTGCATAACAATCTCCTTTTTTTGCTTTATTACCATCAAATGCTGGATTTGGTGTCAAATTTAAGTTTTTTATATCTTTTAAGGTTTTAATGTGTTGTGCTGATTCTGGAAGTGTACTTCGATCAAGGAGACCTTCTAATACAGATTCTTTACTATAAAGATGACCTAAACCACAACCAACTACTGGTGGTTGTAATGGTAATTGTTTAATTGTACAATGTCTCCACTTAAATGCTAATTCTGCTTCCTTATCTTTCTACAAATAATTGTATATTACTTTATATAGAAAGACCAACATTTATAAATAATATATAAAAATACATAATCTAAATAGAAAATAACCTGTTCTGGTTTTTTTTTAACTCTTACGAGTTCATCTCTTCGAGGAATAGTTCCACCATCACAACCCATGATATATTATAATGAAATTGAAAAATTAATTACTAACAACTTATTCAAGTTTAACAAAATGTATGTTAAATATCATTGATTATACAGAATATAACAATAAAGATACAAATAAAGATACGTAATATAATTCAATGCTACCAACTTATTATATATGATGAATATAATTTTATAATAATTTTATTAAAGTGAAGAAAACAAATTTTTAATATTTAATTTTTATTATGTATAATCCACATAAAAAAATATTTAAAACAAAATTTAAGATAAACTTAATATTTTAATTAAAATTTATATGTAAAACATTTGAATTGATAATGATTTTAGTATTGGTAACAATACTGATCTTGTGAACGGTTCCAAATCAGCTGATGATATTCTCTTTTGGTTTATGATTTAGTTGCCGGGTGGGTCGTAAGGCAGCAGCACACAATTGTCATCACGTGAGGTCACAATGGTTTCTGATGGTTTCGACGACTAGTGATTAGAACAGCGAATGTTTTGGATTTCTTGAGAAATTCAAGCATCTGCCGTGTTCTGCAAATAAAGATATAATTCAAAATATTTAGTAAGTAGAACTATTTATTTTTTATTTAAAATATATATAATAATGGATAAATTACAATTATATGGAAAATTAGAAAATGTTTTTAACCCATGTTTTAATGATTAAAAAAACTTAAAAATTATTATAGAAATAATTATAATATTTGTTTTCATATCATTTAATGTAATATATTATATGTTTGTTATATTGATTCATATTAAATAAAATTTTCTTCAAGTTCGTTCAAAATTTAATATATGACGTATTTTTTAAGAAAATGTTAAGTTTTTTTATATTATCGATTTTATAATGGTTTATTACTGGGCGCCATTAAATTATTTCAATAATAAGTTCATACTAAAAAACTTGTATGCCTATCAATTCAAGGATATCTCTTTTAGCCTGTAATTTCATGCACGCTTGTCATTTCCCTATATTGATCGTTCTACAAGATCAACGCGCCATTCTTGCACTTAAGTAGTATATGTCACGTGGAAAGCGCGCTTAATTACATAATACCACAATCAAAGAAATACATTGTGCCACACCCCCTTTTTTTTTTTTTAACTTTTTAAGACTTTGTGTATTATTTTTAATTTAAAAAAATTTTGAATTATAAATTATAATTTATTATATACATAAGCAATTAATGAATAATGTTCTTAGGATTATAAAATTATATATTAATTCTATAAATTAACTATGTTTGAAAGTAAAGCAGGTGGTTGTTTTGACAAGTATTTATTTTCTATAGATTTTCAATTCAAAAATTTATTAATAACAACATAATTACTATTCATTTATGATTTTAATTTAGGTCATATAAATTTTATATACTTCTGTATATATAAAAATATATAGATAAATAAATTATTTTATATATTTACATTTATATATATATTTTTTATTTTATATATATATTAATTATATATTTTAATATATAAATATGATTAAATTATTATATAAAAAATTTAATATAATTTATTATAGGAAATAAATCTATAGATATATATAATGAATGTAAATATTGAAGTTTATATAATACATTAAAATATATAACATAATTTGTTCATCATAATGTTTCAGATAAATTAAGTAATTTTCATTGGAATATTGTTCAAAATGACAGAATATTGGTTAATATCTGCACCAGGAGATAAAACATGTCAACAGACATGGGAAACCATGAACAATTTAACATCAAAACAACATTCTTTATCAGTTAATTATAAATTTCACATCCCAGATTTAAAGGTGGGAACATTGGATCAATTAGTTGGTTTATCAGATGATCTAGGAAAATTAGATGCCTATGTTGAACAAATAACACGCAAAGTAGCAACATATTTGGGAGAAGTTTTAGAAGATCAAAGAGACAAACTTCATGAAAATCTTTTGGCTAACAATAGTGAGTAAAAATATTAATGTGTTTATGTTTTTAGAATTTGCTCTTTGATTTAAATTTGCATCTATTCTCTAATATAAGAGAATAGATCATTGAAAAATTCAGAGATTCAAAATTATTTATTATTTTTTTTATCAAACATTATATTTAATTAAATAAAATGTTCAAATATTAAAAATATATTGAAATATCATTTGATAATATTATATTTTTTGGATCTCTGCAAACAGGTATCGATCGATTTTTTGTGTATAATATTTTACAATAAAATAATATTGGTTGGCAAAAACATCAATGAATACTATACACGACACGAAACATGCACACAACTTAGAATTTTTCTTTAATGATGATCTTAAACATGTATCAGTTGATTTCTAAAAGTTTTAATTTATTCATTGATAATAATAATAATAATAGCACGATTAGAGTCTTTAATCCTTATTGTCCTCAGTATCCTATGTTAATAGATTAATAGATAAAAACAAAATTTTGTCTGTGTACGCTATTAATAAAATAACAACAATATTATTTTTTTACAAATTGTTATAATAAACATGTTTTTTTATTGAGGATAATATGCAGGCAAGATACTTGTGGCTATAGCATATATAGTATAATATAACATTTTTAGATATGATGTGTACCATATATTTTTTTTATTAAACATAATTTTAATATTTGGTTGAATTAATCTATAATATAAAAGATTTTTATATAATTTTTTATAACAAAAATATTCATTTAAATATTGAATGTTTTAAATATGTTAAATAAATAATCAAGTAATTTGTACAATTATCCTTAAAAGAAAAACATTAAAAATTATATGTATTTATTTTCATGAATAATAATTTATAATCTATTACAATCAAACTACAATTTTATTTAAATATATTAAATCAATGTTTCTTTTTTAAATATTATTTCTTTTTTTATTTTTTAGTTATTTATTTATTTTTTCTAATTTTTTTTATTGTATTTAAAAATTAAGAATTTTATTTAATGTACAAGATATGATGGTACACATCATATTTTGGCATATAATTTATATATCTGTAGAATGCTTATTACTATAATTGGATTAGAATTCATTTAATTTATTACTTACTACAAATAATTTCTCATATTTGTGGTGTTGCTTGGCTTGCTTTATTTAATTTGGACCACATTAACCCTATTTCCCTACCTTATTATTTTATTAACAAATGCTCATACATGTGCACCATCAAAAATGTATAAAGCCTCCAAAATTTTAATACACAAACATGCAGTATCATCATATATTGAAATATAGTAAAAAAATTTCAAATGTAGAAATTTAAATATATGGACCACACTTTGTTAAAAATTTGCAAAGGACGCAAGGAGTTGCTTGGGTTACTGTGGTCACCAAGCTCCAATTAGTTATTACAAGGATTCTTTCCTTTTTTTCTTCAGTTATTTTATTATTCCTTGCAACATTCCTTAAATTGCATTATTAATCATTTGCAATTTAAATTTATATCATTGCATATCATTTGCTCATACTATTTTCTATTTATTTTGAATTATGTATTATTTCAATTTTGTTTTTGTTTTTTTCTTTCTTTCATTTCTTTATTGCTTTTGCTACGTCGGAGTATTTAACGAAAAATTTATTTAAAAGTTCAGGTAATAAATATTACAAATATTTGTATAATGCAATTTTTAATGGGGAAAAAATAAGAATAAATAGCAAATTTTTAAATTTTATTAATTTTTAAAAATAGCAAAAATGTTTTAATTTTATTAATGATTAAATATTGTAATCATGAGGTGCATATTTTTTATAAATATAATTACTTATATTTTTTTTAGCATTAAACTTTATATTTCAAAAATTTATTTTTTTAAAAAAAAATGTTTGATATTTATACACTTATCAAAATATAATAAATAAATAAATAATAAAAATCAGAATTTAATTATAAAAATTTAATTATAAAAGTTATAAAAATTAATTTTCGCGATTAAATTCTTAATGAAACATAAAAGTTTCTGTGCGCTAAATACTCCGTGATTTTTTTTCTTTTTGAGTTATTTTGATTGAGTTTCGACAGCATTGTCGTTAGGCATTTGCGTAGGACGCAATAATAGTTGAACGAGACGTAAGAAAAATCGCGCGGAGATTGGGACTGGGCTGTAATGGATAGGTCAAACGTCAGTGGATGGGGAGAGCTCGAGCCCCGAAGGGGGTCCGGACACCCCGCCAAACACCCCCGTCACCCCATCACACAAGTCTTCAAAGGAGCATCACAAGCAGTGGAAGGAATCGGAGAAATGTGAACCAGAACCAGCCGCCTGTTTAGGTCAGCATCATTACCAGCGTCATCATCATCATGAACATCATCATAGTCATAAACATTACAATCATCCTTCTGATGTTGAAAAAAAATCATCACATAGTCCTCAAGGCATCTGTGATGTTAGATCATCAAATGATCCTTTATCAGCATATTCGTGCTACCATGCGCATTGGTGCGCTGCTTCTACCTCTTCTACACCTATTCCTAGTCCTACTCCTACGAGTCCGAGTCTTTCCCTTTCATCAAACTGTAGCAGTGAAGGAGAAACCAGATGGCAGTCGGCGACACGTCATCGGACTACTGAGAAAGCAGATCGATCTACCTCCAATCGCAAATCGTTTGGCAATGACGACGACGAAGACGATGCGGACCAAAACAACGACCAAGACCAAGACCAAGACCATAGTGGCAATTTGCCCAATCCAGGTACCCGTCCTATCACCGCCAGGTCAACCCGTCGAACCCCTTTTTCCCAACATAGCTGCGAGACTTGTTCAACCTATTTTCCTGTGCACCTCGTGATTCGCCCGTTTAGCGACCGATTCTTGTTTTGTCTTATCTCCTTTGGAGATAGATATAGGAGAGAAAGAGAGAGAGAGAAAGAGAGAGAGGTTGTCATTTTATAGTATTGAAAATTTTAAACAATAAACTTCGCATGCAGCTTTTGCTTAAAAAAAAAAAGAAACAAAAATAATTAAAACTCACATAACTCTTATTTCAATTCTTCTTCTAGTCACTATATAATGAAAGCGTCTTTATGATCCTAGTGCGCATTTCCTTCAGTGTCAATTTTGCACAATTTTGCACTACATATGCAATGTTTGTAATGCTAAAATATTTTATGCCAAATTTTGCCTCCAATGTAATAAATTATTTCAAGTCTTTTTAAATGTTAATGTGCTATGTCAGATAAGAAAGCATTGCTTATTACATATTTTATTTTTATTTTTTTTATCACTGTAATAAATTATCTACACTTTATTATAATTAAATTTGCATTGTTCAAAAGACACAATTTTCTTTGTATTAGTGACTATTTAAATATATTTATTTGTATATATTTCAATAATTTATTAAAATAAAAGGCACATTATAAGTCATGACAATCTCTCTCAAATGTTTACAGCATACACCAAGTGAGACAGTACCAAAAGAAAAGAAATACTTGGCTTAGTTTACTTAGCTTGTAATTCAGAATACAAAAGCCTAGTATATAATCAAATATTTTATGTTGTACTGCAGTAATTCCCTCAGTGATATTACAACAATATTTGGTTTCTTGTGCACGCAGGAATTAAAAAATTGGAAGATAACAGACAGCTACCCATATTCTAGCACATTTTAATTGCAGCAAATGTGTGTACATTCTTAAAATTTATTTTTCGGGAAATGCTCTAGTTTGTTTTAAGTTCTTAGCTAGTTCTTTTTCACTCCTGCGTCCTAGTGATGATTATTTCACAAATTCTATACAAACTACAAAACACATTAAGAAAATATCTTGTTTTTTTTTTTTTTTTTTTTTTTTTTAATTCATTTATAATAATATGGAAATATTCTATTTAATTAATATCTTTTTGGAAATCATTTGATCAATTGTTCCAGGTGCTGTGGACGAATGAATGAACATATAGTGTATTACCTCAATCATTATCAATTTTTTTTTCTTCCTTCTTTTTACATTATAAATGCTTTTTATAATTTTTTATTTCTTGTTCTTTTATACCATACTTTGTTTCAATTTTTCTGTGTATAACATTTTTTTATATATTATTTTCAAAAGATACATGTTTAAATAAATAATGAATTTATTAAAAAGTACTCATATGCAAGAATTTAATAAAATTGATATATTATTACAATAAGTTAATATGATGCATATAATTATTATATTATATATATTATGTTAATTATTTAAATTAAACATGATATTATTAAAATTCATTATTATGAATCATAAAAGTATATGTGGATTTAAAATTATCACAAATACAACATAAAGTATGGTTTAAGAACATCCTACATTTAAATGATACTACTTTTTTAAGTAACATCATCTCTCTATTAATTTTTTTTTTTAATTTTTTTTTTTTATAGCATTTTCTCCTATACCTAGCTTTTACATGCTTTCAAACTATTATTTTCTATAATTTTCATAGAAAGACAATACTGTACAAATTATAATACATGTACACACACACGTGTATATATATATATATATACATATATATCTTATGGACGTTAGCACAGATTACAGATGAGACATAATTAACAAAAATTTTAAAACACTTATCGATCGGTACATGGACTTATAATATACTGTTTCGCATGATCAAATAAATTTTGATGACAGTATAGTGCTCAATACCCTTCAACACTACAAGTTATCCATATCACAAAAAACATCCTACGATCAACTTTTATGAAGTACTTCATAAACAATTAGCATGAAATGCTTAAATATTTTAGCTTAGCTGTATACTATATGTCTATGTTACTATTGTTAATGTTACACTATTTAGGTCATTATTATACATGAATTAAATCTATTTTAAAAATAATAATTAAAAAATAACTATAATAATATAATCATTATATAACAAACAATTTATATTATATAACATCATATAATCATTATATTTTTGTAATTTTCATTATATTCGTATTCTAATGAACCAAGTGTATATGCGTGCATGCGTGCGTGCGAGCTTTTATTCATTTAAAGTTATCCATTGATAGCTATTATTATAAGAGAATATAATAATATATAATTCAAAAAGTTTCGTTAGTAATTATAGAATTTTCATAAATTTTGTTTAAATGAATATTTTGTTGTAAAATTTTTTTATTAATAATAATTATAATGAAACTTTAAATCATTGAATTAATTGAGATTAATGAGATTAACTGCTTCATTCATTTAAACATTATTTATGAGTAATTCTCTTGTTACAGTTGTTACAGATATATAAATAAATTAATTTGAACAAATATTTATTTAAAAATATGTTTAAAAAGAATTAATTAAATAAAAAAATTTTATAATGAAAGAAGTGATAATATAAAATGCTTCTATATATTAATGTTGCATGCTATATTTTTGTTAATGTCTCGCTTATTCTCGTAATGCTATAATACGTAAGGAGCGTACTAGAATCAAGAAATGAATTTCGTAGAACAGTCTTTCTCTGTTATCTTATTATTATCAATACTCTCCTTATCACAGAGTCAATCTAAAAATTATTTTAATTGTTCAGCTAAAATTAATTTAATTAGATACATACTCATATGCATAATTTTATTGTACATATGAAGGTGTATATTTATATATTTTATGTATTTTATATATTTTTCTTATATATATAAAAAATAATCTAATTATTGTTTTATTAAGAAAAAAGAAGAATAAATTCTACATTTTTTTATATACTTGAAAATATCTTGCATAAATACAAATATTATTACTTATATTAATTTTACTATATAATATTAAAAAAAAAATATATATATATATATATATATATTCCTGCATTTGTACAATATATTTACAATTCAACAGAGCTTTATCATTTCTAGCTTATGAACTTTATCAAATCATTAAAAATATATACAGTATTCCATTTGTAAGCACACTTAAGCACTTAAGTATATTACATGTAATTAAATATTGCATGTTATTTATGATTTCATAATTTCAAAATTGTACTGAGCTCTGTTTGAATATTTATATAGAAAATGAAAAATGATTTATATAGAAAATGAAATAATTATCTCAGAACAATTACATTAACATTATGAATTTACTAGGTGATCTACCATCATATATAACTCGATTCCAGTGGGACATGGCAAAATATCCTATCAAACAATCATTAAGAAACATTGCTGATATTATCAGTAAACAAGTGGGTCAAATTGATGCAGATCTTAAAACTAAATCTACAACATATAATAATTTAAAAGGAAGTTTACAAAATCTTGAAAAAAAACAGACGTAAGCCATAAATTTTTATTAATATCTAATATCTCATATATTTAAAATTCTATTAATTTTAATTATTTATTTTTATACTTTAAAAAATTATTTAAATAATAATAGTAGATAATTGTTGTATAGAGGAAGTTTATTAACAAGAAATTTGGCAGATTTAGTGAAGAAGGAGCACTTTATTTTGGATAGTGAATATTTAACTACTTTGCTTGTAATTGTGCCAAGGTAAATTCATTTAATATATTTATCATTGTTATTTTTTTAGCTAACAAATTGTTCTATGAAATTTTAGAGCAAATTTCCAGGATTGGTACAGTGGTTATGAAAAATTAACAAAAATGGTAGTACCACGTACTACACAACTTATTACTCAAGATTCTGAATATGGATTATTTACTGTCACTTTATTTAAAAAAGTTATTGAAGAATTTAAATTACACGCACGTGAAAAAAAATTTATTGTTCGTGATTTTACATATAATGAAGAAGAACTAGCAGCAGGTATATAAAATTTTGATAAAAACTTTTTATTAAAATTTCATATATAAAATAATTGATTTTTTATTTATTTGAAAATTAATTTTGTTCACTTTTTAATTTTATATTAGTAATATTTATATTATTATTATATAATTTATTAAAATGTATTGTAGGAAAAAATGAAATAACGAAATTGGTAACTGATAAAAAGAAACAATTTGGTCCTCTTGTACGTTGGTTAAAGGTTAACTTTAGTGAATGTTTTTGTGCATGGATTCATGTTAAAGCTTTGCGTGTATTCGTAGAATCTGTTTTAAGGTAATAATAGAAATTATCTGAAATCATATATATTGTAATAAATCATTATATTGTATATGAGTATTTATTTAATCATATATTAATTAAATTATAACTTATCAGGTATGGATTACCTGTGAATTTCCAAGCAATATTGTTGCATCCTCATAGAAAATGTGCAAGACGATTACGTGATGTTCTTAATCAACATTATGCTCATTTAGATTCTTCTGCCACAGCATCTTCTGCTGCTCAAGGAACTCAAGATGTAAGTTGTAATGTTTTAATAACAAATTATTTCTTAAAATAATTTATTTTAATTTTTTTATAAAAATTAATATAACGTTATTATCTTCTATGTTTATTGGTTTAAACAGAGTGTGGATATACCAGGATTAGGTTTTGGCCAAAATGACTATTTCCCTTATGTGTATTATAAAATCAACGTAGATATGGTTGATAATAAGGTTTAATTATTAAAGACATCTATTTTCTTAAATTTTAAATATTCTTTAATTTACGTAACACATACTTCTATAACTCCAGGTATTTAAAGCAGGTGCGTACAGTAGTTTTTTCTGTTTACATGAAATATAATTTTTATTTTTTAGAATTTTGTTTTCAATATAAATCTATAATCTTTCTGATTTTCAATAAATCTAATTATCATTCATTCACTTGCAGGAGTAAATTAAATATTTACTTAAAAAATATTTTTATAATATTTTTATAATACATCAAATACCTGGAGAGATGTATGTACTTTGATATTAGCTCAATAAACTATGCATAATAGGATGTACAATCATTTGTATAAATTTTAGCAAACACATTTGAATATGTTGCAAACTTTTTTTTTTAAATGGGCTATATTTAATTGAACAAGATACCAATAAATTAAATTCATCAATATAATTATTAACTGCTTTTCAAAGAAAATTAAAATATTGAAAAATTTATTGTTTCGATTATAGTAACGATATATTGCTTAAAATATCTGTATGTAAATGTATCAAAATTCTTACAATTAAATATAGCACAATTTATTTTACATAACACTACATAATGAGCGGAAAATATCGTGCCAGAATAGAAATTCTGCAATGTATAATTGTAGTATTTTATGTATTGTTTATAAAATTAAGATCATTGTGAATATTGTTATAAAAGAGAAAGTTCATCTTGTTATAAAAACATATGTCATAATATCTATTTTGATTCAAATGCTTTTACCATGTTTATTCAATAATTCTTCATAATGCTTATATTATACAAAAACTAGTAAAATAAGTATTATTCAAATATTAAAATACAGTAAATTTATTTCATTAAATATAATGAAAATATAATATTTTAATAATGCAAAGTATATCAGATACATATTAATGTATCAAAATATTATTTATTGAAAATTATAAAACTCCAGACACATTACACAGTTTGGTTCTTAAAGTATTATTATTAATGTTATATTTTAAATTTTAGTGATATATAAAAAAACTTCATTGTAATAAATTCAGTTCAAGTATTAAATTTTGAAATCTTAAGGCTAAATCTTAAAGGCTGCACAAAAATGAAAAATAATAATAAAAAATTATTATAGTACATGTTATTTAAACAAATTGTATTATAAATATTTCGTGTATAGAATTTATGCTTTGCAATATTATTTTAATTCCTCGCTTATATCTTATTTCTTTGATATTTTTAATGTATCAACATAAATTGAACTATATGTCTGAATATATTCAATTTTATTCTGTACATACATATTGAAAATAGAGAAAGGTTACAAGTATAGTAATATTCTTCTTGATTTAACCAAATATATTTTAATCTATGAATTTATTTTTGTTTAAAGAATTAATCGTTATCAGTATTTCAAAGTACATCTGTATTTCAAATTGTTATATTATTATACGATTGACGATAAAGTATTAATTAAAATAAATAAAATTTTATCGTCATTAATTAAATTTTATAAAAAAAGATTTTCTTAAGCGTTAAATAATAGAAATATGCACTCTATGTATTAAAAATGTTATATGTATCATACTAATAATTTTGAAAATGTATTATTTTATATATCAAAATTAATTACAATTATATTTATAATTTTAAAGTTTTAATTGTAAAAACATTTCAGTTAGAGCGATGACAATATTAGCTAAATGTTAAATCAAAAAAAATAAATGAATTAAATTTAAATATATGTGATCAAAAAATTATACTATGATGTATACATGAAGTATCAAATATAAAGTATCATTTAATCATTTGTTAATTAAATAGATTAAATAATACTAATAAATATTGCATTTTATTTTATTTTTATCATATTTATTAAACAAAAAGTACATATTTTCAAATTTTTTAAGAAATTTTAATTTTCATTATTCGCAATTTAATATAAAGTTAAATATGAAGTAATCTTCTTATTATCATACTATAAATGTATGATATATATGATATTATACATTATACATAAATCACAAAGAATGAGAAGAAACATTACTACTTTGAGATAATATCTGAAATGATAAAGAATTTATACTTATTTTTTTATAATATAAAATTATTAATTTATATTTCTTTCATTTTTAAATATTGTAAAAATTACTTGTAGAGTATCAATTTCTTTGTCCCAATTTCTTTCACCAATAAGTTTAACTGTTTTTATAAATATATCTCTTATTTTATTAATATTTTGTTTAAATACTTCCATTACATCAGCTGCATGAACATTATCTTCACAATCTTTCCAGCAATCATAATCAGTGGCCACTGCCACAACTGCATATAAGAGTCCTGCTTCTTTTGCTAAATATACCTTGTTTAAAAAATTTTTTATTGGATATATTAAATATACTATAATAATAATATTTAATATTTATGATTGTGTGTGTGCGCGCGTATATGTGTACACACACATTATTTTTAAATTTAAAAATAAATATACCTCTGGACATGTTGTCATATTAACTAAATGTCCACCCCACATACGCAATGCATTACTTTCAGCTTTTGAAGAAAATCTTGGTCCTTCTATTGTCACAATTGTTCCTCCTTTTCTTATCTTATATCCTAATTCTTTACCAACTTCAAATAATATCTGAGATGTAGTTGGATCAAAAGCTGGTTCCATTGGCATATGGCATACTCCTAAAATTTTAGTGTAATATTTTTTAATATAATATTTATAGATAAAAGATAAAATTTATATTATATTGTGATTGTTTAAATATAATTTACCAGAATATTTAGGTGAAGTACCATCATAAAAAGTTGTACTTCTTTTTATTGTCCTATCTAAAAAACTATCTGGAACAACTAATAGTCCTTTACAAATAAAATCTTGTAAAGAGCCACATGCTGTTGATGCAATTATATGAGTACATCCAGCTAAGCGTAAAGCTTCAATATTGGCACGATAATTTACTGCAGTAGGACTTATCTTATGATCTGGTCCATGTCTATATTTAATTATATAAAATTTTTCTCCTTAAACTTTTTTTAGAGATCAAGAAAATATTTAAAATATAAAGAATATTTTATTATTAATTTATATTAAATATTATATATTATATATTATGTAATATAATAAATAAAAATATTATAAATATAATAATTTATAAATTAGATATTAAAAATTCAATAAATATTCCATTATATATATATATATATAAAACTACCTTGATAATAATATCACATCTACATCATTAATATTTCCGTGATAAAGATCACTAGATGGAAATCCAAATTCATTTTTAGCTTTTTCTCGTGTAGTTATAGTTTGACAATTTAATATTTGATTTTGAGGATTATTTAAACCTGAACCACCAATTATTCCGACCTATAAATTTGTATTATATAAATTTAAATAATAATTCTTTGAATTAAAAAAAAGAAAATCACTTTCTCATCACGTGACAATTAAGAATTATTGTTTATTCGAATTTAACTATAATTCTTATAAATAATACAAATATTTAAAAACGCAATAATGTAAATTATAAAAATAATAATATAAACATCTATATGATTTAAAGAAAAATAGAATAGTTTACTAGATATAAATTATTTATAATAAATATATATAAATATAATCTTTCAATTTTAATAACTTTTATCATACCTTAACTTTATATTTATTCATATTTAATTTCGTCAATATTATTTAATCGAATATTATTATTAATTAAAAACTTCTGAAATAATATTTTTTATGTTTTTAAATATACATTAATGATTAGAAGTTTAATTTATGTATTAATTTATAAAATCATACTGATAAAAGCACACATGAAATATAGAATAGTTATCAGTTTCCATCTAATGATTATAAGTTATCCCTACTCTTTTTCTATGTTATATATTTTTCTTAATATCACTAATAATCCAGATAAACAATTAATGCAATATTAAATAATAGAAATAAAAAAAATATAAAAATATGTAAAAATATATATATATGACATAGAAATGTAAAAATATTTATAAGAAATACAAACTATTATCTTTCTTAAAACATAATTAGTAATGCCATCTCTTTGAAAAATACTCAAACTTACTATATAATGTTACCGATAGTAAAATAAACTTGTAATTCTAAACTTGTTTATAGGAATATCAAACATTCTGATTTTTTGTATAATCAATATTTCAAAATATTATATCTTATTTTATTTAATATAAAATTTAATTGAAAAATAACATTGAAACCATAACATTTTTGTATACCAACTTTTGTGTTTTAATCTTTAAAATTGACAAAAGTATTCTATAAATATATTAATATTTTAAATATAAATAACATTTTTTTTAAAGATATAAGTATGTATGTTTTATTATATTATAAATGCAAAACTGTTATAAATTTATATAAATATAATCTAAAATAAATGATATCTAAAAATATCTAATAAATTATTTAATAAATTATTTAATAAAAAGAACTTTATTAAGCCATTAGAAAAAATATTTTAACTGATAATTCATATTCAAATATTACATATATATATATAATAAGAGAAAGAGAGTTTAATTGTTTATAATATACAGATAACTTAATAAAAATAAAAAATGAAAAAAAAAAATAAATTTCAAAGTTCTTCTGCATCTTCCAGACGTTTAATCACTTTTTTATATTCTTCTTCTAAACTTTTATATTCTTTCTCTAGAGTTTGTATACGTTGTTCCAATGTAGGTAAAGTAATATTCGAATGTTTGTCAATATTCTTCAATGCGCATTCCAATTTTTTTAAATCATTTTGCTCTCGTCTATACGGAATATTCAATCTTCTTTTTACATCTAATCTATATTCACGATATTCTTGTTCATTTGTTAAATCTGTACTACGCAATCTTAAAATTTCGTACACTCTGCGAGCTTGTTTCTAAAAATAATAATAAATAATATATTAGAATTAAAAATATTTCTTCTAATAATTTAAACATAAAAAATACCTTATTAATCTTGAATTTTTCTTTAGCTTCTGCGGCCATTGCTTTATTAAAACCTTGAAGTAGATACTCTCGTGAAAAACTAGATAATGTACAGCAATTCATTGCATCCACATAATCTCTTAATCGTTGAAAGGTCATTGAAGGGTCCTCAACTACAACAATGATGATAATGCCTTACCAAAATGTACTAGATTTACTGAAATAAAAGTATCTAATCAGATTTTACTTTTGTATTATTCCTTTCAAAATTGAATTATCATTAATTATAAATTTATTTTCATTTACCTGTTATATCTTTGACTTGATTCCGCCCAATATATTCGCGATAAATAGCATGTAATAAATGTGTACCAAGACCTATATTTTGAAATGGTGGTAAAATTAAAACTTGAGCTATACGAGGTCTAGTATGATGTGGATATGCATAGTATTGATATACAGTAGCAAAACCAGTAGTTGCATAACGAACAGTACCATCTGTTGTTTGATATTTTTCAAACCTATCTCAAAAAAAATAATTTTTAAAAATAATTTTATTTAAAAAAAAAATTTGTTTATGTAATTAAAAAGCAGTATAAAATAAAATTATAATTAAACACACATACATGTTAAAGTAATGCCATCGATCATCATCAATATCTATAAAATTAGCAGCATCTATATACCATAATACAAATGTTTGAAGACGTTGATGATATTCCTTAAATCCCTTATAAGTCATATCTGCTTTATAAACTTCAAATTTTCTTGTGCAACCATCATCTTTATTGTTTATAAGTTTTGAATAATTAATTATTAAATTCTTTATAATATTTTTTTAAACATATAATTTATGAATAATATTGCAGACTATTACCATTAACAGAAAATGAATGAAGTAATTCTCCATGAGGTTTAAATATATCATCCTTTTTTAAAGATTCAATAAATGCATCTATATTATCATGAACTTGTGGAGCTAGTTTTTCAGCAATTTTTGGCAATACTTCATCAGCTTCGACTCCTTCATAAAGTATTTTATTTATTTTTTCTGAATAAGTCATGCCTAGATAAGTTTCTAAACAACCTGCTGAATAATAAAGCTTCACTCTGAGATCCCGGTAACCAAATATAGATTCACTAATAAAAACAAAATTAATAATTGAAAAATCAATTAAAATAAATATAATACTAATATTCAATATAATTTATAATATTTATATAATATTTTATATTATTATATTTATAATTATAGAAAAAAATTATTTAAAAATATGTATCTATATATACTATTTTTGAACTATATATCTTTAATAATACATATTTTAAAAACAAACCTATCTCCAAATACTTGATGAGACATTTCTGGTTTAAATGTAGTTTCATTATTTTCTAAATCTTCAAAAGAACGTATTAATTTAAATTCCAGAGCTTCATTACTACTCATTACTAAACTTTTTAAACGTGCAGTAGCTGGATCTTCCATATTATACTAGTAATAAAATATATAATATAAATTTATCTATAAAAAATAAAAAATTAAAATTGAATTAATAATTTGTTATTATTAAGTAAATTTAAAAAATTAAATTTTATATAAATATTTTCACTATTACATGTACTTGTATATATAATAGCGATATGTAAC